ACGTGACAGTCAGATATAATACCGTATTTACTTGCATGTGACGAGAGGTTTTTTTATATTTCTGCTACTAAAGTCGATCCTGGCGAACCAAAATTTTATTATTTTTTCTTCCTAGACCCACAATGCAGCAGTGAGGCTAGGCCTCCCCGTCTCTACGTGGAAGCGCGGCCCACAATCATACCCCTATAAAACGGAAGTAAAATCCACCAGGACCCCAATAAAGGTTTTTTTTTTCATCCACCCGTCCTTCTATTCAACTATAACTTAATGATATGTCACCCGTTGTGTTACAATCATGGTCGTTTTACAATCGAATAAAGATGTGCGTAATATACGGCGCGATGCCCCGCCGCGGTGGTCTAGTGGCTAAGGCGCTCGGCTGATGACCCGCAGGTCGCGAGATCGAATCCTGGCTGTGGCGGCTGCATTTTCGATGGAGGCGAAAATGCTGTAGGTCCGTGTGCCCAGATTTTGGGTGCACGTTAAATTTCCGGAGCCCTCCACTACAGCGTCTCTTATAATATTATGGGGGTTATGGCAAGTTAAGCCGCACATATCAATATTCGGCGCGATGCTTACGCAACCGAAGTTTTCATGTGCTTTTTTGAACGTTTCCAAGGCAAGTTTTATTTAAAAAACTTTCGATAGTTTCCAGAGCACGAACCTCAGTGCATTGGTAGAAATCAGCGCCGGAGGGAGTCAACTATGCATGATCTGGGTCATTTTTCCTGTCATTAAAGTTCCTTGGAATTGTGGAATTCATCAATGCAACAATAACGCCGGCCTCGAAGCTTATTTTTAGTCCAATCAGCGCGCACGGCGACATGGTTCAAGTTGGGATTTGTTTGTACGGCCGAAGGTTTCCGGCCGTGCTCGACATGGGCGGCGCTCTATGTATGCGGAAACTCCAGAACTGGTTTTCAATGCAGTAGCCGTCATGATTAGGCAGACGCCACTATCTTGTCCTGTTAAGAGATCGCCGAGGCTTTATGCTAAAAAAAAGAAACAACTTGAAACAAAGCTGTGGAAATCTTACGTGCAGGTTCATTCTGTACAGTGGTCAACTCTCGTGTCTATAACGATGAAGCATAATGCTCGGAACTGCATGAGCGACATATACGCCACATCTCAGCATGCCCGGTGTGGATGACGCGCCTCTCTTGCTTTTCATTTTATTATTGTTTATAGTCGCAGATTAAACAACAGTTGGGCCGTAAGAAGTGTTGTGAATGGTTTAGCGCAAAATGTATAAAAATAAACGCCAGGCCTGCGCGGAATGTACAGCACAGTCACGGCGAAAGCTGGAAGAGTCGCCTTTAGGAGCAGTTTCTAAACACTCTGGGTAACTGCTACAAGCGCTCTTCCTGGGTACCTACTACGCCATAAATAATCGTAATTTTTGCACAGTAGTCCAGAATTTAGTATGCCATCCGTCATTCTTTGAAGAACCATGGTATCCGCTACCCACTTGCTAGGAATTTTGTGCAATTTTTGTATGCAGTGGCTGACGACAATGAAGAAATATGTCTGAAGGATGTATACGTGCCACAGTTAATAGGTGATCAAGAACAAGTTTTCCAATGAGTTGGAGCATTGGACGACCCACTCGTTACGAAATATGCAGTGTGTGGCGCTGGGTTGTTTTTTTATGTTCAAAAACGCTTAATTATGCATAATAACGCGAATTTTATCCCGACATCAAGCCTGCCTAAGGTAAGTTTGCCGGCGTAGCTCAGTGGCAGTATACTGGGCTGGCACCCAGTGGATCCCAGTTAGCATTCCATTCTCCCCTTAGTTTTTCTTTATTTGCGAAGTTTTCTTATTTCTCGCCATGATAGTTACGGACACCGGCGGCGGCGGACAACTGCGGCACCATACGTGACCCGTGTTCTGATCTCGTAACAACTCTCGATGTAAAAAAGAAAGACTAAATCAAGCTATCTTGCCATGATGCGTGCCAACGATAAGCTCTCGTGCTTGGTACAGCTCAAAGTGCTTCTTATGGTCGAAGGGTGGGCGATTATGGCCGTTGGGGTGAAATAAGACTTAATCTACAAGGCAGGCTTATCGGTGGCACCACGCATGCTGACATGTGGCCTGTTTTGAGCTGCATATGTCACTCCTGTCAATCGCACCGTTCCGGGAGGGATGCTCCGCTGTTCTTGACTTGATTAATTGAGTGATTTGTGGGGTTTAACGTCCCAAAACTACCATAGGGTTATGAGAGACGCCGTAGTGGAGGGCTCCAAAAATTTTGAACCACCTGGGGTTCTCTAACGTACACCCAAATCGGAGCCCACGGGCCTACAGCATTTCCGCCTCCATCGGAAATGCAGCCGCCGCAGCCGGGATTCGATCCCGCGACTTGCGGGTCAGCAGCCGAGTACCTTAGCCGCTATAGATCATCGCGGCGGGGCGTTCTTGACCCGAGAGTTGATCACTGTACAAGCTTCCCCAGAACACTAATGGTTCCTTCGAGTCAAATGGAGGGGAATTCATATGCATGGATGCCGTCAACAAATAACAGAACCAACTGACTGCGCTATGGGTCACTGTCTCGGCAGGACCTGAAAAAAAAAATAAGCGTGAAGGGTGCATTCATGGAGGACCCCGATCATGTGAAGTCCTGCAGCCTTCACCCATGTACCCTATGTACGAGAAATCTGGGAAACTCGATCACCTGGTTGTGCAGGGGAAAATCACGCCATATTATCGATCAGAATTCGTCGAGGAAAAGTATGAACTCTTATTTCCCCAAACCTCATGCAGAGTAACAAATCAGACATGATCACTTCGATGAAGTCAGTCCTCTTCACACATCTGTCGATCTTCAGAGACGGAAGATTGTCACACTGATAGCCCAGAGGTCGTTAAGGCTAGTGCTTGCAACCCGGGAATACAACATGGTTAATCCTTCCTTCATATAGGACGCTGTATAACACAAAAATTAGACTCCTCCAGGCAGAAGTAGTTGAATGTTTCCCTTAGATTGTTATGAGAAAACTACCACAACAGGCATGGCATCGTTTAAGGTGGACGAATCCACGTTGTCATATGGTACATCTGTATCCCAATGACTTGTATCAATGGTTGAATACTACAGATGCCAGTTACATTACCACAACGAATCGTTCAATGACGACATCTGAAACAGAAAAAAGCGGCGTGACAGACAGAAGAGAGTCGTGGGCTGCAGGCAGAACTTAGGTTAAGAAAGCCTACTCAAGGCACGTTACCGATTGAATGCATCTGGGCGACCAGAGGGGAACGTAATGCGGGTCGCGTCTTCCTCCCTGGACGGCCACAAATTTTCGCCGGGTGAGCGTAAGTCGGGAACGCCGAGTTTCGGCCAGGCGAAGCGGTCAAGCGTAGGACCAATATTTTGGTATGCACGGATGCTATGAGCGAGGCAGATGCTGCGACTCAAGTGACCACCAGATGACGTTCTAATTTGTCGACGAAATTCCGTGTTCTAGTCGAAACGCACCGAAGGGGACGGACTCTTAGAAACTTCGCTTTCTGTGAAGCAATTGCGAGCGTCACAATAATAGATGTCACGGATGGGAGAGTTAGAATCACTGCCCTGTGATCTAAGTACGTTTAAATGGTAGGCGAGAAGGTGTGTGGATAGAAAGATTCATAATGGGGAGTAGTGATCCTCCAAATCATCGGGATCATCTCGATAACACAACCTTAACTCGTGCTAGAAACCTGAAATACAGAATATATTTGTATTAGACCTAACAGGGTACGTCAGAGAGTTTTGCAAGACGATATGGCTATTCCGGAACACAATTACTGCAATGCAGCAAAGTTTATTTATTGCAATAGCCTTGCATGATATCGTTACAACGCCACTTTCGCTTAAATGCTGGTTTCGGCGTCACCTACGACGCCCAAGATCGAAGCACCATTTTCAGTTCGAAGTGAGAATCTGATTTCGTTATTGAGAATGCGCGTAAGACACGAATACTCAGGTTCCTTCTTCCGTGAAGAACTTTCACCGAGCACCCACCGAACCTTGCAGTGCTATAGCTGGTGCAAGTGCAAGATTATAGGTCCGCATAACTCGTATAGCCGACTAAAACCGATTCATGCATTATATTGAAAGCTCGACTCACTCGGAGTCGCTCGGAGTTAGGAATTGAAGAGACACGTTCCGCCGATGATAGTAACGATGGCGGACGCCGTGTTTGCCAATATAATGCAATATGCAAAGCGCTATGCAAGATGATATATAACCACACGTTGCAATATTTATGCCGTATTGCGTATGGTTTGAAATTGTCGACCGGTGAGCAGATTTCTTCATTTGGGAACGATGAGCACAAGTCTGCCGTGTGGTTGCACAGAGGTCTCGCTTAAATAGAGGGCAGAAGCCGCATGCTAAATAAGAAGGAAAAGTGACCGGAGAGCAAGCACTCGTGGAATTCCTGCAACCCCGCACCGCCATGCGGAACAGAAACTGCGTGGATGAAATATAATTTACGAATAACGCACGAACATCACTCGAGAGGAAGTTGAAACATGACCGACTTTTACAGTATATGACGTCCGGATATCTAGAGCCCTTCAGTTTAAAGATCATCGTCATACACGTGGCGTATGTGGGAACCTTCCATGTACTGTGCATACAGTAAGTGAGCTCTTGTACGGAAGGCGCTTGTTCTTGCTCTACATCCGCATCATGGCGGTCTGCTACGGCGAACGCCGCCATCGGACAGACCTTGTCATTGAGAAAGTTTGCCCGCAAAACTACTCGCGCCGTTCGCCTAGCCACGCTAAAGCTGAAGAGCAGACAACGGTAGCCACGCCCACAGCCGGTCAGAGCCTGCGTAGCCACCACGCCGAGCTCACCCGCGCTTTTTCAGGGTTTAAAACTGCCAGGTTTGCACCTCCGTTTGTTGTGCTCGAGTCTGGACATCTTGCATGATCTGAGACTGGTGCTCTTTCTACTCCAAGGAAAGACCGAACCTTACGAAGAAGGCCACGTTGTAGCCCTAAGGCCGACCAGAGTCGGCAGCGTCGGCAGCGACCAGAGTCACCGTTTCCCAAGCTTGATACACGGCTGGTGTAACAGCCATTTTTTTGAATACTGCGCGAGTTGAAGGACTTTCAAAGGGAAACCGAAAAGGAATTATTGGTGGACAAGTGGTGGGCAGAACGTGCAAATCATGCATGTGGCTTTATCCAGTGGGATCAAGAGAAGGTTTGGATGTGTACCAGGGTGCCGGAAACGCTTGCCTCTTCATAAGTGGGCCGCAATGGGTGCTCGATTTAAAGTGTTTGTGCTATATAAGCATGTTCACGTGTCAAGCGCTGTTTCAAACCGGGGTCAGCAATAAAAGCGGGGGGGGGGGGGGGGGCTCAGTCACAACAACGTGATGAAAGACTAGTAGAAAGCCCCAGAAGTTTGGACCTCGTGAAGTCCTTCAACATACACGTAAATATAGGTTAACTGGGTTGGAGCATTCTTGAATTGACCAATGCAGCCGCTGCAACTGGGACTAAATGCGCAACCCGAAAAAAATGGAACGTGGCCCTTGAAAATGTGAATGAAAAGTTGTAGGCGAGTGACTGATTCCTGAACTCCTTTTGACGATTTTGGCTTTGCTAAAGAAATGGTCACAAGAAAAAAAAAACTTACTGGTGTAGGATATGTGCTGCCGTACTCGCCGCTGGTGTCGATGAACTTTGAGAGCTCCTCCACTGTTGCCTCGCCCCTGTACCTTACAGGCTGGACAGGAAAACATGAAAGATAGAAAGAAACAAAGGATGGGAATGATGGCAGTACAAGAAATGTAGGAAACGCAGCACAGCTATTGTTTAACCACACGTGCACTGCAGACATGAATCATCTGTAAATGCTAGAATGTCTTTCATGTAAAAAAGGTCGACTCGTTTCGAATGTACATTTGAAATTTACGAAGAGGTAGCCTTTGAATGACACGAAATGCACCTGTATGAAACAGGTGCATGGCCTGGGTCATACCGCGCCGATTCGTTAGTGGAAGAAATTGCAGAACACGTTGTTGCCGTAGGAGTGAGATGGCCGCGGAAACTAGTATTAAGCCTAGTATCTACATAAAAATATGCAGTGATGTTTTCATAGGAACCTGCTAGCGCCACTGTTTTTCATAAAGTTGCAGAGTGCGAATATTTACGTTCTCTTAGAGGTGTTAGCGTGGATGACTTCAAGAAAATACACTGCCGAGGCAGTGACATGGGCGTTTAATGCCAGTGCCAGAAATGGCGCGGGAAGCACGTGATACGGCTTTTCACAGAAACTGCTTATAGAAGCAACATTCGCCCAGCAGGACGCACGCCCGGAAACTCACCGCATTGGTATTTTTCTTGTACAGCTTGAAGACTGGTAAGTAGTGAACCACAATGCGTTCGACTTCGTTGGTCGTGATGTCAATCTTCGCGATGACCACGTCTTTTCGGTTCTTGTACTTCTCTGCCAGCGCTTCGTACATGGGTACCAGTAACTTGCAACGGGGGCACTGGGGGGTGTAATACTGCACCAGTACATCCTTGGTTATGTCGTAGACGACCTCCTCGAAGTTGTCGTCCACATTCAGTTCAACGGGGTGCGCCTCCGAGTCGCCCAGCAGGTCCAGTGGTGGCATACCCTCCTTGATTTTGCCGTCCAGCACATCCTGAACGAAGGTCTTTATGTCCTCAGCCTTGAGAGAGGCTGTCCTGGGTTTGTAGCGCATGAAGTCAACCTGGAAATTTACGAAGCGCTGGGCGGGGACCTCGTGCTCGGCGACAAAGAACAGCCAGAGGATGTACTTGCTGTTCTCGTTGTCGGCGTCGATAGTGACGAAGAGAACCTGCCGTGTGGAATGAGAAGATTAGTGAGAACAATAAAGGTACTGAAATATCAAGATGGCAAAATGGAGAACAAAACCGGAAGACCACTTGTGGAAAGATTCTAGTGGTGCCTACGAAGCGTTTCCTGAACTTTGTGTGCCCCTGCCGGTAAGGCAAGCTCGCATGGCCTAATGAAGAGTAGGGACTGCGCGTGTTGAGTTTAGCGCAGCACTTATGGCACCATGTGGGCTCTAGGAAATCGGATGCAGTCTTGCAAAGAACGTGAATGGGGGAGCAGTTTGCATGGCGTGAGCTTAGCCAATTTTTCTTAGTGTAGATATAACCTGCAGCCGTTGTAGAAGTTGCCGAGCTGTCTAGTCGGCGATGGTATACGTACTCCGAGTTGCGAGCCAGAAAAAAAAACATGCCATGAAGCTGAACTCGAAAGTAGCCGTTATTATGGCCAGAGTAAAAGAATATGCTAAATGACATTTTGTTCTGAGCAGGGAGCCTTGCTAGAAGGCAAAACTTGTTACCTGATGCTGAAAGGCGGCAGCAGCCTTCCTGAAGTTCGCTAGAACTTCCTCGAAGTCGGCACTCTTGTTGCTGTAGAAAAGGACGTTGTACTGGCGAGTCGGCCAACTGAACACATCGGGGGCATTCTGAAACGACACAAACAACCAGATGTCTGAAAGGGGCAGTCATCGGACAACGCGTTCACCCTTCGTTGCAATAGGTCTCGTACAGAACGATCCTCATCGATGAGGACCTTGCAAAATACATTTGCGAAGGATAACCCCCATTAAAATGCAGCCTGAAGAAAGGAAGAAAGTTCTGTGTACAAGGAGTGCAGTTAACTCCATACCTTTCTACTTATCCCGATTTCTTAACCGAGAAATTGCCAGGCATATTTGCGGGAGGGGGGAGATTCTGTGAAACGGTATTCAGTACCGGTCAGTGAAATGAACAAAATTGTGTATCATGCAGAGCCTACAGCTGTGGCCTGAAATTAGGCGAAGCTGGCCCGCGACCCGGTTGAAGAGCGAGATTCCATTGAAGTATACAAGGATCGCTCTGTCGGTCTACCTACTCTGAACAAGCACGTAAAACAGGACGTGCCCAGCAGTTAGAGTGGCTGTGGTGGAGGAGTTCTTATTTCTACGCATGTGCGTGTGTGTGAAGGGAGAGCCTGATGAACGACAGCAATGGCTTTGCTTTTAATGCGGGATATGCATCTTTTGGTGCTGAACAAGAAAATAACATGGACGTATGTCTAAGAAATCTAGCTATTCAGAGTTTTACTTTTTTCGATGCACTGCCTGCCACTAGGGGACGCCATTGTAATAGACTGGATACTTTAATGCTATCCCGTGATCCTGAAACGCACTCTCCGCAAGGAACGTTGGTGGCATGGGAACACCAGTCGCTTGAATAGCGCTGTCACAACAGTTTAATGCTAAAAAAGGTTGTGATGAGGCAGACTTGGCTAGCTACTTGTTACTCACTTGATTCGTGAAATCCACAACGAGGGGCAAGCTGTTCTGCTGAACGAACTTCTGAACGCTTTCAGAGGTGATGGGCATGTCGAGAGTGGTGTTGCGGTCATCGAACTGGAATGAGAACAGAGCAATAGAAGTTACGGCGCAAACAGACGTGCGTAAGCAGCGAGTGCTGAAACATTTTGTGCATTCCAGTTCTCGTAATTGAGAACAAAGTTTGTAGCAAACCTGCCATGAGGGAACCGTAAACGTGGTCGATTGCTTAAGACGCATTTGACAGGCACAAAAAAAATAACCTTGCAATACGTGTTACCAGCAAACGTGGAGTACGGTTCAAGCGGCCGCTATTACAATTGTTAATATGAGCGACTTTATTCAGCATCGACACCGGGTTATGTGTAGGTGAACTATCGTCATGTGTCGTTTCAAGCGTTCGTATGTCGGACTACAGAAGTAGGCACACGGAAGAACGAGCGTGCCGTGTCTACAGGCAATGGTGGGGTACAGTGTGGGGCTTCTGTGCTCCGTGAAGCGCTCCTAGGACTGGTAAACGTCCTATAAGATAAGAGCAATTCATTGAGACAGCCTCCAAACACTACGTATAGATGCCTATCAGGACGCGAGGAACAGCATGCACGTTGCAAGCATTGAGGCGCAGGACAGTCGGGGGCACAGCTCCGGCTTCCTCGCGTGGACGATGTATGAACATTGGTCCAGCATACACATGTTGCCATGCGTTTCTCGTGCCAGAAAGAAACAACAAACCGAGCGCTGCCACGTAATTGTACGTGAACAGCGCCACGGACACGCACGTGTACGCCACCGAGCGACTACCGGCAAGAGGGACACTTGAGTTCGTACACACGAAATCGAACATCTGTAGAGCACACAGTCCACCGTGTGCATAGACTAAACAAAGGGGACAAACAAGTGGGGGGTACGAGCTCCCACACACGGTGCTTTTCTGCTGTCGGTGTTTCATTTTAAGGCTGCTTCGGCTGCCATCTGCAGCCGAGATTTCCGAGATACGACGCCGTAATGGCACGCAGCACAGTGGTAGTGCATGCAACCACCTTGTGCCAAAATTGAAGCACGATTGGAAGAGGGGCTAGAACACCCAATTTTTGATGACAATTCATTACGCGGTTGAATCCTCGTGCGTTCACAAAGAAGCTGGGAAAGTTCGGAAGCACGCGGGCAGGAAGAGAGTGGCTGCACGGCGTGACGCGACTAGCTGTGGGAGCGTCTGAAGTCAAGAGAACGATATTTGTCCGTAGTCAGCTGCACGTGAAATCCGGATAACTTGGCGCCAACCAGCTTCGCACGGGAATTCAAGTGCGGCCTTCCTTCGAGCCCATCACAACACATGTGCAAAAGGTGGTCGTCGGGAGTCAAAGAAATTGAGATCCGGCGAATTCTACGGCCTGTGCTGGCCCAAAATTGCTTTTCCGGTGCACTTGTCAGATCTAGAGGTGTTGTGGATCCTTTATTTATATAGTCTGCTGAAAAGCAGCGAATATTAGGGGGCCCAGTAAGCTAACGCGACCTAGTAGTGGCTGACCAGAAAGTGGTAGCGTCTACAGCGACGTGATGGAGACAAGTTCGAGTCTGTACAAGCAACACTGGGAAAACTTTCTGCCGAGAGCGGTGTGATACGAAAGTAGAGACGGTGAATTGCGACACAGCGGTGGCGGGCCTCTTGCATTGTTGCGCTGATGAGATTGTAATATATGGAGCATGAAATAGCGTGCCCTGAATGGACGCAAATGTTAAGCGTGGACAGTATTAAGGCGGGGATAGGGAAGGAGCGTGAACACCGCAACGTGCCGTCAACATGCTGCGCATTAGCAAGATAATCGCCTTACGATTCTTTTATCGGGAATATGAAATCCGTCTGAATGACCAGTTTATCGATATCCGCGCTACAATTACTGGAAAAGAGATTTAGGTCACAGATGTCGCATGTCAGCACGTCGGTCAATTCCGAAATGTTCAGGGGACTTCATGCTTAGGTTGCAACCGACCGCGGAACTGTGTCTATTGTGCAATAGGCACTGCCGACATGCTTAGTACGAGCCTGGTGGTGCCTATGCACCGCGACCTCGCTATAAGCGCCTCAGTATGCCTAGATCTTCTACGGCTGTTTGCAATTGTACATGGGGTGTGGCATAAAGTGGCATTGGAGCAGCACCAACCTTCTTGAAGAGCATCACTCCGTCCTTGGTTGCACCAAGCTCTCGGTAGACGACGTCGTTCGAAGTGATTGCGAACACGTGGTGATCGAGGACATACGCAGGCCTTGAGGAACTCCTTGGCCTCCACGCTTGTCTGGTTCTTGAAGAAGCCCACGACAGCGACCTGGGCACTGTCCACGAAGGCCCTGGCATCGTCCGCGGTAAAGAGTGGCTGAGCCAAGTTTCCGGCCTTTCTTTCTGACCCACTGGACCATAGCCTCTGCCGTGCGGTTACCGCTGTACCTGACCAGCTGTCCTTCACGGTAAAACATGAGCGTCGGTATGCCGCGCACGTATTCCCAAGAGAGGTGGCCCTCGAAGCTGGCGTACACCTTGGCAAGCTTGATGCCAGAGCCCGCGTCTTCGAGCTGCTTGGCAGCCTTGGCGAATTCGGGCGCCATGGCCTGGCAGTCGTCGACGAAGGGTAGGTCTGCAAGAGTGAGCAACAGAAAGAATGAGCACGTGGTTCCAGCGCCACCTAGACTAGCTAGAACTTCTGCACTTCCGTCGACGGCATGAAAGTATGACAACTGCGGAGGCCGAGTTTTCAGAAAAGCCAATGGCTCCGGGCCAGTGAACGCAATGAACTAGCACTGCAAATTTGTCCATGCTATCTGCGGTTTCCCGAAAGCACCGACAAAGGAACTTAATAGCTTCCTCCTTTCGCCTAAGTCACAACCGTACTTGCTAGTGCAGAGGTTGTCCTCTCTTGGTGATTTTTAGATATGTCTCGCCAAATTGGCGACACCAGGAGCACAAGACAAAGAATGCAAGTTATAAATGAACAGGTATGTGTCCTTGCCATGCAGTCGCACAACCGTATCGTATCAGCTTGTATATGAAACTAGCGCAATCACGTGATTTCAAATCACTCTGTAATGATTGCGCGAGCACTGGAGAGGCTCAACTCTTGGAGCTGGCAATGACCGCGTGTTTGCGCCTGTAGGAGACCACTTTCCGGTCTAAAGTCTGAAAGGTTTCTCAACAGAGGTTGAGATGCAGCAAAGCTCTTCGAGTGCGCAATATAGACTTCAGTATGCCTTCATTGCACAAGCCTGGCTTCGGTGCTTGGAAGTTTATTTAGCGTTGCATGACTGCTGGATTGTCAGTGATGAAAACGTTTAACGCGTTTTCAGCATATTGTGCTCACATGTGATCACTATATACGTACAGTCGAACGCGGATGAATAAGATTTGCACTGGTTCATGGCTTCACAGCTGTGAACCTTGAAAGGCCAGAGTGTTGCAGGCAGTAATTGGTACAGGCCTGTGCGCCAATATCCCGCAGTGCACGGGCCTGTACCATTTAAACACCGCCGAAATGCGATTGCCGCGGTGGGAATGGAAGGCGTGACAAAGGAGCCAGAAGCGGAGCACCATAACCACGAATGTGCTGTGGAGGAGACTATTCATGGACACTTGTACATTAAGCGTTCATGAATATTGTGAAGAATGTGCGCTGGTTCATGGTTATGTAAAGCACAAACCGTGAGGTTAACGAAGAAAGTGCACGCAAGATTCGTACGAATTGTGCATGAATTTTTGTTGAACTCTCACTACTTGATGCCTATAATGTAGGAAAGTGCGCCACCTATAGTTTGTTAGATGAAGAGCAAATGCAAGGTCCACCCGCAGATGCGCGACCTTTCTATAGGTCATTACCTAGCACGCTGAGCAAGTCGGGTCTTAGAGCCATAAGTGCTTGCGGTGTTCAACGGAATATCGGGAATGAAGCAACCCAAAACCTCGATACGGTTATCGAGACTCGCTTGTGGGGGGGGGGGGGGGGGGGGGACGGGCATTACCATGGACTTAAAGGCAAGCCTCAAAGGTGTTTGTCACGGCGGCTACATTTTCGGTCGTGATAGAGATTCGACCTCACAACTTTCTAGTCGGCAGGTGAAGGCCATGACAACCACATAACTGTTAATCATACGGTGGTTTTTGCTACATTAAACCCCACAAATCATTACGAGAGACGCTGTAGTGGAAGGCTGCGGAAATTTCGACCAGCTGGGGTTCTTCAACGTGGACTCCAATGCGAGTAAACGGGCCTACAGCATTTTCGCCTCGATCGAAAATACAGCCATTGCAGCAGGGATTGGATCCCACGACTTGCGGGTGCACTACAGTACTTAAAAGAAGCCCGACGTATAAAGGTAAAGGGTTATCCTGCCCACTTGGAATACGTCGGTGGACTGAGATGAGCAATAATGTTAAACGTGGCCGGAGGAAATGTGACACGACGTTTAAGTATTAGGCTAAACTAGCATGTGCCAGTTTAGAAAAACCAAATATCGTAGTCGGGCGTAAAGTACTCACGAGAAATTAAGTAGCGAAGAAAAAAACGTTCAGGAAGGGACGAGCAGCGAAGCGCTGAACACTAAACTGATTTCTTAGCTCGAACGTAGGGCTTGCGTGTAGGCACGCGTCGAAACAGAAACAAAACCCGAGGAAAAGAAAAAGTAGCGATGAACTGGTTGCCAAAAAGAAAACAGCCGAAAGCAAGCACGCCATTTGATGCTCTTATTCCACAATGCAAGTACGCCTCTGATATGCAAGAAGTGAAGTAAACGCTTTATCCTAAAACCAACAGCGGCAAATACGTGAAAGCCAGAGAAACCGAGGCAGCCACAGATGAAAGATTCAAAAAGGAGCAAACATGTGAAGCGCGATAAACTGAAACGTAAGAACGGTGTAAAGGCAGGCGCCGTAGTGAAAAGGCGTGCGCCGCGTAGATAGCTCATTGCCTCATTTGAGAGGGAATTTTTTAGGTTGGCTAACGTTTTGGAGCTTTTTTTTATGTTGTGCAGCCGACTAGGCTTCTCTTACGCGTTTGCTTCGGTTGGTTTAAGGATCACATAACTGGACTTGTCATACCGGGGGCGTACACTGGTGTAAGAATTTTAGACGGTGCGGTTGGCTTCCGTTATTTGTCCTTTTGACAAGCACTCGTCACGTGGTGTTCCGAGATCCGTCGTGTTCACCCTATGGTTTTAAAGCGTGCCTACGAAAAGGCCCTGCGTTCGAAAGAATGCAGCAGTGGCGAGTGTGCGTCTATTTTTTTTTGTCTGGTAAATCTGAATTATGAACCAACTCACTCAAGCAGCAGCTGTAGTAAAGTGCTCGACGGCACGGAAGTAAGAAAACGTGATTAAACGATTTGGTTGATTTAATAAATAGAGAACATGAAGTATAGTGCTGCAGTGTGCACGAAATTGTTTGCAGAAGTTGCACCGATGTAGTTTGTGAACAAGTTGCTCATAAGCAGCGCTGTAGTGGTTATGTGAATTAAGTCACTAAGCTGACCTGTATGGATCCTGTATGGTCTTGTTGCCGACTATACACTCTTAGCACCCTCTCAAGGTAGTGTGGCGGTCTATATCCCCCTAAATTGATCGTGGAGTGTTGGCGCATTCATTTGCCAGCATATTGATCTGAAACTGGAGAGGTATGGGAATCTGGCTCGACAGAGGGATCCGACCACCGAGGCATCAGTAACCTCGTCCGTGATGTAAAGAGACTGGCCTAGAAAGACTGATGGGAACCAAAATCCGAGAACCAAAACGTGCACTGTAGTTTTCGCTATGACAGGAAATACGTGAACGCGTAGCCTGCGCTCTGCGGCGGCTGCCTACAGCACCATTTACCAACAAGTGAATGGTACGTTCGGTTGTGGCGTCATCTGTGGCCAAGCAAGATAACGAGTCATGGCAAGTAGATAAGCGCTGCTAGATTATGTTCCGCGGCGAGCGATGTCTGGCGAGTAGTGCAGCTTGCGCAGTGGCCGTGGATAACGTTTGATATGTTGGCAGTGGACTGCAGGCGTGAGCGAAGATTGAGGGAAATGTAGTAGCACTTGTCTATCGATCATAACTCGTTTATTTTATTTTTTTGGCAACAGATGACGTTGAAAGCGAAGGCGCTTTCTTTTGCTCTTGAGCGATGGTGGCGTAAGCAGCCACCGCAGAGCGCAGGCCATGCGTACGCGAGATGTCTTTCATAAAGGACGATAGCGTACAGTTATCCAAGAGCGAACCAAGCAAGCTACTGTTACGAGCATTATCAGATTCCACGTGCCGAGAATCAGCCGCATAATGCAGTGCTACCACAGCCGATTGGGGCGAAAATTCGGGCACTGGATTTCCACAATATCACATTGACATTTAATGTCCCGCTGCGTTGAAAGCTTCCAAGTGCATTGGGATTGTTTCTGTAAAATATGTAAGCACTGCCTTTAGAGCTTTCTGTTGCATTCGTGTAGAAGGCAATCTCTTCGATCGGGCGATATAGAGATACGAGAATCGCGTGTTAGCAAACGAGGGAAAGGAACATTGAAATACTGGGTGCTTAAGGAACACAGTAACACTAGAAAAATCAGAAGGTACGCGCGTGTTTGCTTTTATAACTAAGTATTTTAATGCATCCAGAACTAATTCTGTATCGTAAGAGCGTTCAGGCGAAAGGCTCCAAAAGCTTGATACTCCCGTTGCAAGAATAAGGTCTAACGCGTCGTCTGGAAAGTGGTGTGTGTCCATTGAGCCACCTTCAGACTCGCTTTGAAATGGAATGTTGAAGGTTAAGTCTGACCCCCGTATTCTAGAACGCCCCTTCACTCAACGCTCCACTTTCACTTGAGAAAGCCGATGGGAGCGCTATCTCTAGTCGCGACAAGTTCCTGCACATAAGCGATGATCTGATGCGGTGCTTGAGGAGCGGAGCGCCATTTTCAGCCGAGCAGCGGCGAAGTGCTCAACTCTGTCAAGTGAAGGGTGAAAGTCGAGTCGAGGAGCGTTTGTGAATACGGGAGCAAGAAACATGTCGAAAGGGTTGTCTGCAAAGTGATGCGTGTGGAACTCACGCGGCTAGTAAGGCACGTTGCTACTGAAGCTCACGACAACAGTAAACCCAAACAAGCTGAATGAAAACCAGCTGAATGAATGCTAGAAGAAAGACTAAGGGAACAGAAGCGTTGCTTCTTTCTTACGTCACTACATCGGCGCTGATCATCACCGATTTAAAATTGGCGAAAGCTGGGCAACATGTTATCTGGCACGAATAATGGATAAGGTTGGGCGTGCGTGTGCTTGACGCAGAATAGCGAACGGAGTGATCGCAGCCGCACGGCTCGAGATAAGCTGACGTCACTAGCTGCCCTGGAAAACGTCAGATCCAGGGATTGCGAATAAACTTCATGGCCATAATCAAGAAAGAGGAGAGGCGATTTGAATAGGAAAGTAAGAGTCGTGGCAACCACAACACGTTAAGGAAAGCGACGGCTGAAGGGGGACTTTCAGCAATGTTTGGAGGAGCCATATGCCTTGGGAGCGTGAAAACCAGAGAGCACTGACGACGGAAACGAACAGAGAACACGACCCCAATTGGGATAATCTCCGACTAACAATGAAAAAAAAAACCTGCTGTTCAGCCAACAATTTCATTTGAAGTATTGAAAAGAACCAATAATTGTAGAGAACCACAAACGTATGTGATGCCTCCAGCATTGCCAACTATCGCACGAGTGCCGATCGGATGCCGTACGAGCGCCTGTCAAAAGCGACAAGGTGCGAAACCGGTAGAAGTGCGAGCAGGCGCAGAAAGCAGTTCTATAGCGCAAGCGTCTGTCGCCATCTTTCTTGCAGGCGGATGTATGCTTTGCGATAATTTCGCTATGAATAATAGATAAAGAAAGAACAATTCGCAGGGACAGTGCAATGCGCGCCACATGAAACGACAATGTACCAATGCATGTTCTCCGACATATGGTAGCTGAAGAAAGTGCTCCCAGAAAATTCGAGTTGAAAGAAATGCAGCGTGACAATGAGTTGTGGGCACGAAGATAACGTATAAGCAGAATGTTCAGGATGTTTGTCAAAGAATGTGTGCGCACGCGCCTTAAAAAAAAGCAGTGTGGCGATCTTACAGGAAGAGCGTGCTAGACGACGCCATCGGTTATGCTGGTATTGGCACCTGCGCGTTCGAATACGAATGCCGCAGAATGAGCGAGGATATACTGCGTATGGGCGAAGTTATTCTATTTGACCACACAGATAAAAAAGGACACAGGAAAGAGGGAGAGAGAAAGCTGTCAACTGGTACCCGTAGGAGCACAACGCACGGTATAGTTACAATGCTGGAGATGGTAGAAACTATGTATCATCTAATTGCAGTGCACGTCTATGTAAATAGGAGCAGCTGGCTTAACCACCCTAGAGTGCCAAGAGTCTCTTTGAATTAGCATCGACAGAGACGGACAGAATAGAAGGAGCGCTGCACATGCTACTATGATCCTAGCAAGCGGGTGAACTAGACATGCCCGACATTCGTGAAGTAGGAGGAAAAAAGGGGGATGAAAGAAAAAAAAACATGCGGTCGGGATTTGTTATTCGAGACTGGAAAAAAACACGCCGCTCGGAATGAATGGGAGGATTTTTTTTAATGGTGAGCAAGCAGGCTAGTAGTAAAGGTATGCGGAGGCTTGCGAGATAAAGAGACAGGAGGCCTTTGTAAGGCAGAGAGTGTTGTAAGCGTTCGGAACCATTGTACAAGCGCGGGAAATTTCAGGACCACTACCATTTTTCTGTAATGCGGTGAGGTTAGGGTATGATGAACTAGGGGTTGCATGAAGTAGGAGGAACAAGGAGTTCTTGATGAGCCACTTCTCAGATGCTACCAAGCAAACAAGCTAATACGGGCCGTAAAAGCAGGAAAGATGCAGTAACAATGAGGTTCCGCCATATTATGAAGATTTTCAATTTTACAAAACTGCCAATCAAATGCATGAAGACCTTGAAGAATTAGCCTACGGTTCGGTACAGCGAAAAAGAACAGTCGACACAGTCGGCTGAAGGCAGGTTTGGGAGCCATGAATAATGTTGAAGGTATTTGCTTTTAACATATGTTTGAGCATGTATTTTAACTTCTCACAACGTACGCAAACACAAGCAGAGGCGCGCGCTAGGTGGTCGGGCAAGCAGGGTGGCTGCACGCTCCTAGCCACGTAAAGGGGGCTGAAAGTGTGCACCAGACACTTCGGACGAATGGGGGGGGGGCAGGGAGGGGGGGCGACCCTGGAATAAACGACCACCCTTCCCTATTGACGAGAACACCCTGCGGTCACCCGAGCTCGGTCATCGAGACATGCATGCCACTAATTAAGGAGAAGTGGGGAATTGGATGACTAAAATAAGTATATTTACCGAAAAAAGCAAGCACGCTACTGCATTAGAAACAAAAGAAAAGCATTAAAGAGAACTTTATTCTTGTACAAGCAGTTGGACGAAAAGACCCCATCGCTTTATCATAGGTTTAAGCGGTAAAACTAGCAGTGCAAAAGAATTAAGGAGCTGGTTGACCGATTTGGGTCACGCCTGGCACAATTTGAAAAGATGCAACGTGTTGGCTGAGCTCAGCGCAAAATTTGTGAATAGTATCACTGACCCAGCTATGGGACCCTTGCACATCGGCAAACTGTGCGCCCGTGAAAAGAAAAGAAAGATTGTTGCTGGAAAAGTAGCGCAAAAACCAGTGCTAATACTCACTGTAAAAAAAGTAATGGATAGGCGCGTCATTTCGTTTTGTGTAAGAGCCCTGTAGCTTACGCACAGCTACACGGTGTAAAATAGCGAAAGCCGTTTCTTTGTAGGTGCCAAGGGAACTTCTTCAATCCTGCCCACAACGCATTGGACGGAAACACCGTTTACCTGACAATGCACAGCAAGACCAATACAATGTACCGCTTTGCGAAAGGGAACACGCGAGCCCATAGCCTACGCTCTGCCGCGGCAGAAGGATGAAAGGACAGATAAGTGAAGCACATGCGCTTATGAAGTCATCTAATAGCAAACCAAAGGAGTGATTGCCATGGACAATCACTGCAAGAAGACGCCCACTCCGTCCCGGCAATGCCGCGTAGAGTGGACACTTTGCTTAGCTATCGGTCAGTGGTGCTGCAGGCAGGCGTCGCAGAACGTAGGCCACGCACCCACGTGTTCCCTTTCATAAGGTACGACAGCGTTACAGCTATGTCGATAAGGAACATTGAGACGTTAACGAAAGAAAGGACGTCCACATGCGAGAGACAGAAGACGGCGCCCGTCTGTCCAGCACTCAATTTACCATCTGATGTAATAACCAGCTCGTCCAACAACGAGCTCTTATTAAATACAACTCCACCGATACGGCTGCAGCTAAAACGACGTAGCACGATAGTTAGAAAAAAAAAGGGCTGCTTTGTCGTACTCACAGAACATGACGAAAAGGAGCTTGTGGTCTTTGATGGCCTGCTCGAAGTTGCTGTCGTTGAGAAGGAGTACACTGTCCTCGACCTCGTAGACGGCGCAGTTGGCCGACGCTAAGAAGCACAGTAGCCCGATTAACCTCAAAGAAAACATGGTTCTTTTCGTAAGAAGGGTACAAGCGAACTGGCTAGCAACACTCTACACCTCCCCGCAAGCCCGAGTGCGTACCGAGACAAGAGGACCACAATTTAATAGGAGGCAACAAGTCACCTGACCCCATTCGCGCCAATGACGCTTCAACACGATTACGGCTACTCCCACAAACTGAGCATGCGCCGGTCTCACGCGGTGGGTGGCTTCTTATCAAGCACCGCGGTCGTGTTGTAGCCATGTCGTGGATTCATGGTGAAATATATGGGTCTCGAAACTTGGAGCGAAAAGTGTCAAGTACTTATCGCCACAGGCATCAACGCCCGCCGACGATTTAGGTGCATGACTAGGTGAGGAAGGGCCAAATCACTGAAACAAAATACTGAATGTATGATTATTGAATAGTCGTATATATATTTTTCAATAGTTCGGCGCACTGCCGGGTCAACAAGCCATCGCTCACTTTTGCGTGGTGCTTTCATGCGAACCTTCCTAAGTTTGTTTATTTAGATGTGCTGTTTACTGGCGTGACATTTCAGAGGTGAAAAAATTCCCAAAATGTGTAGATAGCTGCTCCTGTGACTGCCGACTGCTTTCGCTGGCGCACGGCCGGCGTGCCCTCGCCTTTGGTGACGGTGAATGCGACGTGCTAAGCAGCGAGACGCTGTACTTTAAGATAGCAGAAGCGATTATTCTCAAAGCTGCTGTCTCGCTGCAGTGGTTCTCAACGATTGGGCAACGTGAGTTTTTGAACTATTCGCTACTGTGCTCGTGAACAGCTGTCATGTTTCAATCTACGAAGTTTTCAGTGTATATTAAAAAAAAACGCCATCTGGCTAATAAAACAATTTTCAATCCTCAATCATTCTTGTTGGTCTTTCTTTTATCTTGTTACGGAACTAACGATGCATAAGGCGCAATAAAAGTGTGCACTTGAAATGGCACGTAAAACGTAAGCAATTAAGAAAGTTTTTAGTTTCGCTCCATGCAAGGCAAATGCAAGGCATCGCTACCACTTCAGGTTTTGACGTGATATTTTATTTTCGTTCGCTGTTAGTGGACCGGCGGCAGCAGGCTGCCAACTACTGGATACATGGGTTTCTATGAAATTTACGCTACCAGTTTACATATACCTTGGTGGCTTTGAGCATAACGCCACCGGCGTGACGAGTTTGAGTTTACCGTGACCATCGCGATTGCTATGTACTATCAAAACATTGTGTTCTTGCAGTGGAGCACGCAGGCTGACGTGATTGGAGGGGGGGATTCACATCAAACAACCAGGTAGCCATAGTTGGGCAGTGCACAAAAGGAAACACACACGAGAAGGAAACAGGGCAGGCGCTGGAACTGGCCCGCCTTTCCGTTCTACTACAGGTGGCCCTCATTGAAGAAAGTCAACACGGTTCTTAAGTTAACGCGCTTTTCAGAGCTGACGTAGCCAGCTCCAGCTTTAACGATAGAAGATTGGCACAAATGACCGGCTGCCACAACGGCAAGTTCGCGACAAGCAGTGGTGTTTCTCTCAAGCGCATTGCATTTTCCAAAGCATGGGTGGCCTTCGTTAATCCCTCCAACAAACAGCTTCTAGGGGTAAACAACGATATAGGTACAGTTGCCTGCAACTGCAGTGAACGGAAATTATGAGCTGAGCCACATCTACCTATAATCAACGACGAAGCTTTTCTTTGAGGTGGCGTTTTTTGGATAAATCTACAACAAGATGAGCGATGAGCTGCCTTTTACTGGTCCACCAGCAACGCCTCCATTGCAAAAGGGAATGCCAATCTTGGTAGAATAGTGGCTCGTGCTCGGCTGCTGACCAGAAGGTCGCGGGTTCGATTCCGGTCAAGGCGGTCGATCGTATTTAGATGAAGGTGGATTGGCAGAGGCCTGTGTTCTGTGCATTGTTATTGCACGTTAAGGGTCATAAGATGGTTAATATTTCCCAAACCTTCCGCCACGTCGTCTCTCATAACCATTTCGTGGTTTCGCAACGTAAAACGCCAGATGATGTTATTATTGTGGAAGGGAATGTTCTTAGAAGTCTTGCTATCGGTGTTCCCGGTCAGCTATTATGCTTCCGTTGTGACTGTGCGTGTACATGAAAACATTCTGGGTGCGCTTTTTTAAATCAAAGCCGCCAACACACGCTATACAATTGCCTCCGAAGAATTAACTGTCGCCCGCTCCAGCAAAACGAGTTTCACAGCCGTGGTAAGTGGGTTGTCAGCTACTTATTGCGAAAACAACATGAACAACAAGAAAAAAGAACGAGAAATTTTTGTGTGGGTACACCATTAAGTTCCACGCAAGCCCCTTCTATGCTTCATGTTGCCAACTTAGTGCATCGATGGATAATGCCTTATGCGAACCACGCCAGAATGCCGGAGCATTCCATTCTTTTAAGATAGCCTGTTAGGCTTGAGCATGCCAACACGGAAAGCTCAGTTTATTCTCGGGGGAAAACACGGCCTTATTTGATAGTACTTGAATGTTCGATGCCGCATGTGTAAACGCCGACGCACCTTGCCGCGGACCAGTTTATCGACGGCTGATGCAGTGTTCACCGTTGTGAGTGCCTGTGTGTATCGTTATAGTTGAACTTTCATTTCCCAGCCACAAAGTTCGGCCAGATAAAGAGCTTCATCTTGGACTAGCGGGCTTCTGCCGCTATCGCCATCACGAGCACGTGCTGTTCGATGGAAGCGCGGCAACAAAGTAGGGCTATATTTTTTTGCTTGGCTGATTAATGTCGCAGGTGGTGGTCGCAATTAAAAACAGTTAATCTGCTCTTGTCAGTGATTACACGTCAAATGAAGTACATCGATATTATTTTAATAGGTGATAACTACTTCAAAAATTATGGGCTCACGAGAAACTTCGAAGTTGCGGTACTCGCCGTCATCTCGCTGATGGGATTTTTGGTCGGCATCGTAGTCTGGCGGGAAATAACGCCTGATAGCAAATAACAAATGTTAATCCAGATTTTTTTAGCAAGGTGCTCTTAGCTGGGAACCAAGCTTTGAACTTTCTGGTTCTTGAAAACATTGTGCAAAGTTTTACTTTTATAATAGTTATGTGTTGATGTGCAATGCACACGCAACTGTTTTTATGAAGCTATATAATATCCATTTGACTATACTTATTCCTATAAAAGAGAGCTCGGGTTGCATTCTAGTCACCGAAAATCAAAACGCCATCTTATTAGAATGCTGAAAGTTAAAGCATCAAAAATTCTAACAGCTTAACTGACGAGTGATTGAAAATTAGAAATGCCGAAAAATCATCGCAAATCAGTTTTGCTGAAGCCCGCAAGATAGCAGAAAGGTTAGGAAAAGAAAAAAAAGACAACTACTCGTTTGTAGCACGAAGCCACAAAGATATCTGTAGAAATTTCTTAGAAAGAAAAACCTCTCAGTCGCTGAAACATTCTTCCTGTTCATGGGTTTGAACCCGGGACCAACGCCTATCTGGGGCAGTCGCTCTACCAACTGAGATAACCAGGAAGCTAGCAGTTGACAACATGAGGCCAAAAAATCTGAAGATCGAAACATTGGATTGTCAAAGTGTCAAATTTTCTGCAGCAGCATAACTATAGAGTCTTGCCGAAATCAAGGTTCTGCCAGCCTCGTAGGATGAGCACGCATTTTCACTCCATTCTACAACAGCCATGTTCCCATCGTTTCTGGTTCAAGCATGAGAAAGGAATAACAAAAATGCATTGCTGCAATGTCATCGCATAGCAGAGTAATTCTTTATATATTGTAACGTGGTTGTGATGTGTACGGAGACAGCGGTAGGCTCTTCCAAGCTGAAACTCTTTATTCAGGGAAACTTGTGGCCACGTAACAAAAAGTAAAAAAAAAACAGCAAGCAACGCACGCTGTTTACACTGATATCGGCACAGACTTTGTCAGTCGTCAATGAAGAGGTAATCATTGGAACGCGCAGTCTTTCATAGATCACGTGTCGAACTTCTAGACCCGTCGCTGGTGGTCACGCAAGCTCTGGAATAATCTTGAGTGTTCGCATGGTGTGCTTAATCTGAACAAGATGATCTACCACAAACGTGAAGCTTCTAGGACACTAACCCCCGTATTCAGAAACGCTCCTCGACTCGAATTCCATCCTTCACTTGGCTGAGTTGAGCACTGCGCCGCTGCTCGACTGAAATTGACGCTTCGCTTCTCAATAATCGCTGCAGAATATTGCCGATATGCAGTGACTTGGTCTACCAAGAGAGGGCGCTCCCATCGACTTTTTCAAGTCGAGGAGAGCTCTTGAGTGAAGGAGCGTTTGTGAATACGGGGGTGAGGCGCGATCTGTGCCAAGTACTGCTCACAGTATTCGCGGGTTTCAATTGAGCGCATCGAAATAACACGCGTCACAATGTCGCATTTCAAACAAAGTTGTGTCCGATTCCTTGTCGAAAACTTAAGACGCCCACGTCGTGCCGGTCGCCCAACGAAGCTGTCACGCGATTTTTTGCGTAATCCTTGGCTCTTCCTCTGTGAGTGGTGGAAATGCCCTCTAACCGTTCTGTCGGCGTTGCCGTCGGCGTACTCCTTTCGCATAGGAATGGCGGATAGCTCCCGATGTGAATCGTGCGGCACTGACGAGACAATAGAACATCTACTGCGTTCATGTGAACGTTTTGCGAGCGAACGCAACTTGCTACGCGAAACGTTGGAGACACTAGACAGTAGACCTTTTTCCGAAAAGAAGATACTTGGCTCATGGCTCTACGCGTCACTGGCCAGCAAAGCGACGCGGGCACTGCTAAGTTTTCTAAAGATGACCGGACTACGCGACCGCTTATAAGCGTGCAATGGACAAGGTCACATCTACACACACTATGCCCTTCACTTCTCTCTCTCTTTTCCTTTAATACCCTCACCCCTTCCCCCAGTGCAGGGTAGCAAACCGGACGTGCGTCTGGTTGACCTCCCTGCCTTTCATTTCTACCCTTCCTCCTCCTCCTCCTCCTTGCCATAGAGCCTAGCTTGCTCCCTTTTCGAGGAGGAGATCATTCTAAAGAGCACAGATTGCGCG